GTTGGTACTGAGGACTGAACTCAGAACCTCGCATTCTCAGAATTTCCTCACTCATGACCAGAATTCAACCATGTAAAGCTATGCTTCTAATCCTCTGACTAAGCTTTTATAAAGCTCTATACTCTCGATAGCCGAAAACTAAGGCAGAATCTAAGGGTGGAAAACCACTAAAAATAAACTTCAACTGGCTAGTATTACCAAAACTCCATAGTTTGAAATAAAAAATACTGTTCTACCCATGAATTAAAGAAATCAAAAGGGACATTAGAAGCTATTCTGCACTAAATGATAATGAAAATGTATTATATCAAAACTTATAGGACACAGGCAGGGGCAGGGGTTCAAACCTGTAATTCCTAGCTACTTGGGAAACAGAGATCGTAGAATCACTGATTCAAAGTCAGCACAAGCATTGAAGTTCATCAGACTCCTCCATCTCATCCATGGGGCACAGTGGCAAGTGCCTGTTATCCCAACTACAGGGAAACGATACTTGTCTGTCATCCCTAGCAATATAGGAAGCACAAGTACGACTATCACAGCCCAAAGCAGTCCCAGACATAATAATGCGAGACCCAACCTCAAAAATAACCAGTGTATGAAAGGTCTAGAGGTATAGCCTCTGTGTAGCAAGATCAGGACCCTGTATATTATTGATAAATACATGAGATTAGGCATTTTTTAAGTTTAAAAAGTCACCTAAGTTTCTATCTAAAGAATCCAGAAAGTACAAGAACAACTAAGATCAAAAGTAGTTTCACAGGAAACAAAGGATAAACTAAGTTAATAAGGCATAAATCTGGCTCTTTGAAAGACTAAGAAAAAAACTCCTAATAAGATTATTTTAAAAAATCGTAATATACCAATCCCAGTTATAAGAGAATAGTAATAAAAAATCTGCAAGATTAAAAGGATAAAGGAATATTAAGAAACACTTTTAACAATAACAACTTTATGTTCAATACTAACATGAGCAACTTAGATGTGGACAATCTTTTAAAAATACAATTTGCCAAACTAACATCAAATGAAATAGAAAATACAACCCCCTTATTTTTTAAAGGAATAAAATGTATTATCAAAACCTTCCCACAAAGAAAACTCCAAAATTTAATCAAACATTTAAAAAGAAATAATCCATCTTATAAAATTTCCTTTAATGGGAATACTTCCCAAATTTTATAAATTCACCAAAACTTGAAAACTATCAACTGACAAGTATAAACAAATATCCTTAAAAAGGTAGTAATAAACTCAAACTTGAAATATACTTTGAAATACATCATTATTGGGATTTATTCCAGCAATGACCATAATTCATTAGTATATTAAGAGATTCTAAATTAAAAATTGGTTATTTCAATTTTTAAAAAGCTGAACTATTATTTCATAAAAATCAGCAAGCCAGTTAGGATAGGAAGCTTTTCAACCTAACAAAAGGTAAACAATGAATAGGATACTTAGTGGCAAAATAAATGTTTTCCCATTAAGATGAGAAATAAAGCAAGAATGTCCACTTACCACTTCCATGTCATGTTCTACTAGAGATCCCACCCAGTAAAAAGTGGCCAGAAAAAGAAACTAAAAACCTAAGGATTGGAAAGAAATACAACTGAGGCTCTTCACAGGCAACCTGATGATCTATGTAGAAAAACTTTTAAATAACTAACATTAAGGGATACAATAAAGCACTTCCTTCAGACTGTGTTTTATAAATCACTTGCTAAATCTGCACCACTTTCAAACCAGTAGCATTACGAGCTCACTACTAATACGGTAAACTTGGTTATCAAGGCACTGATCACATTGTAAGATGCACTGAGAACAGTGCTATGGTTTGGGAGTGGCGAGTCACTGCAGAGTCCTTAGTGCCCAGGATGGCACTGAGGGGAGGTCACAAAGCTTCTGGGACTATCTTGGAAGATAGTTCTCATAGAAGTCTTTTAGTTCTCACAAGAGGATTATTATGAAAGAGGTAATCCTGGCCTCAGTGATGGCATGTGCCATATGCCACCTGCCAGGCGACCTTCATCAGAACTGGATGGCATCACACAGGTGCCATCCCTTGAATCTCCAAAACAGTAAGCTGAAAATAGTTTTCTTTATAAAGTAGCTTCTTTCAAGTATTTTATTATGATATAAAAAACCAGACTAGTACATTTAGGTTTAAAAAAAAAGAAATACTAAGCAAATAAGGTTTTGTAAATTAATATAAACCTTTCATATTATTGCAATTCACTGAATTCTGTAACTTAGAACTTGAAATGGGTGAAATTTCCTGCTTTTTTAACTAAGTATCTTCATAGCAAATTTTACCTCTAGCTATATAAAACAAACTAAGAAAACTAAAGAAGCAAAATACACAAGCTCAGAAAGAAGCAAAAAAACCCTTTCATCAAGAATTGAAACCTGAAAGTATTTTCCAAATTAACATGAAAACAAATCTTAATACCATCACTGCAGTTATTATGAAGTTAAACAAATACTTATTATAAAGTTAAATGTACACTTCTCATATGACCCGACCTCATTCCTAGACTGTTAGCCAAAAACATAGCATTCAGACATGTACTCGATGTTCAGAAAAACTTTAACAATTTGAAAACTAGAAGCAGCCCAAATGTCCAACGACTGTTAAAAAATAAATAGTGATATATCCAGACCTGGGAATTCTACTCAATGAGAAAAAAAAGTAATAAAGTAACTATCTATACAACCTGAATCAATTTTTAAAAATTGTTTGTTTTATTGAAAAGGTGATGGGGGAGGGGAGCAGATTTACAATTACATAAGTAAAGCAATGAGTACATTTGTTTTTAATCATTGTTACCCCATCCTCCCTGTCTCCCACTTACCCCACTCTGTTCCCTTCCCCCCGACAAGTTGTAATGTTCATATCCCACATAGTGTCAGGTGAGTATCAAAGTTGCTTTGATTCGTCCTGCTGTTTCTGTGATTCCCTTTCCTTTCCACATATTGCATAATCTTGTATGCAAAACACGAGGTACAAAAAAATAAGATAAATGAAGAAAAAACAATAGAAAACTACATACAGGGTCTAATAAGAACCACCTTGTTTCCATATATTGGAGTTCATGCTGATACATTTCATTATATATGGTCCTATGCACTAAGCAGTTAGGTAACTGAGATTCCCTGTTAAGAATATCATATACAATTCTAAGTCTTTCTAAGCCTACCATCCTTTTGGTTTTGAACCGTATCATCCTAGAAGCCATCCTCATGACTATTACAACCTACAACAAACATTTATGATGTCTTATATTCACAGTAAAAGAAGTATTGATTTATAAATTTTGCATTTTTATTAGTGTTACTATGAACCAACGGGAATAGTAATTTTAGGCAAACGCTACATACTGAGAGACTAAACTTCAAAGTTAATAAATCATACATAGCAATATAGCTGCTTTCTCTAAAAGTTGTCTCACAAGGGATTTCTGTGGCTCAACTACTTTCTTAGGATCATTTAAACTATGGTAGTGACTAGGATTAGTGATCTGGCTAATTATTTTGAAACATATTTTGAACATATGACTTAGTGTTAATGGGGAAATTAAGTATAATTTTTGTCTTATTCATTCCATTCTTGTACTTTTGTGTTTAAAATCAGTTATTAAAAAAACTTCAGAAGAGGGGTGGAAGCATGGCTCAGTTGGTAGAGCACTAGCCAATGAGTAAAAGGGGCAGGTACTATGTTGGAGTACCAATCTTGGACCTGAAAAAAGAGAGAAAGAATAAAAAGAAAAAAAAAAGAATATCATATACATAATCTAGTTCTTACAAATGAGGGAGATCACTATGCTGTGGCAAAAAAAAAAAACAAAAAACAAAAAAAACCTGGACCAGAAAAGACTATGGATTTAACTGAAATTCTAGAAAAGGAAAGAAAAGCACATTAGTGGTTTCTAGAGGCTGAAGGACAAGAACTGGACTAACAGGACAGGAAAGGAACTTTTTGGAGTGATGAAAATATTCTGTATTATGACTGTAATGTTTGACTCCACTGTAAACACATCACACAATTCATTTAAAAAAACAAAATTAGTTTTGATGTTTGAAAATTGTAACTCAATAAGACTGATTTGCTCAGTAATGCATACCTGTATTTAATTTACTGATAACAAGTTTTCAGGGTAAATATTAACTATAGACCCTTAAAGAATATAAAAATCACATTTAAGAGGTAACTTTTAACCAGAAGATAGACACACAGAAACTAAAATGTTCTGAGACTAGATCAATTCTCATCCTATACCTTGGCCACATGAGTAAACAGTGGTTGCTTAGCAACTATTCCAAACTCTACATTCTACACATTGAGCATGTAAGCAAATACCCTAACAGATTATCAACTAAATTTTATAGTGAAGAGTTCTTTCTTAAATAATAAAAAATATTTGCTTATTTATGTAAAGTAATATGAACACAAATATTAAAATTGTATAATGAAAAATTAAAATACATCACTCTCTCTCTCTCTCTCTCCTGATCCTTACTTGGCCTTTTACATCAGAATTTCACTTACCTAATTTATGGTAATTTATAGGTTTTGTAGGTAAACCTTCCCCCTTTACTATTCCAAGTCCTTTGTCACCTACCATCCAAACGACCTTAAATGAATACTTTTATTTACATATTTATTATATTAATATACACAAGTGACTTTTTCTAGATGTTAAATGATTTTCAAGAGATCCCTCTGAATTACAGAATCTGTGGATACAACAAAAAATATAGCAGTAACATGCATGGACACAACATACCAGAAAGTCAATTCTAACTTCATAACTAGATTATAGATTACTGTAACTTTGAAATACAAAGAAATTCCTAAATAAGAAAATCCTTAGTATACATATTAAATATCATTTCTCTCCTGTATCATGGTTCACTTTAACAGTACCAGAAAAAATATCAAAGACACCAACCACTCACTGTTAAGCACTCTAACCAACATTGTTTTCTTGAACACTTACCCCTCTTCTGAACCCAACCTTCTTTCACAATGGTAACATCGCTCATGATGGCTCCCCTCTGAGCCCCAGCGAGGAGAAATCAGCTTTAGGGTTTGAATTCTCTGCTGCTGCCCTTCCCGCTCTCTAGTGATGAGTCAGCCTGGAAGGAAGTATTGAAGAAAGAATTTCTTTTTTTTTTTATGTTCCATTCTTGCAACTCACATAGCAATAACAAACAACTAATTCTTTGTAAATGTCTTCAACTGGCCTGACTGCAAATAAAAGTCTGGCTCTTATTTACTTAAATTAAAAGTTCTAAATGAATGCATTGCTTTAGTCCTGAGACAGATTTCAAATGATAGTGAAACTTTTAACTTAAAAGCTTATATTAAAATGTGTCTTAAGAAAACCTCTGTCACACTTATACAAATACAGAAAATGTGTTTGCTGATGGGTGTTTGAGCTGAAAAGGAAAGAGAATGAAAGTTAAGTACCCAAATCCCTGTAATTTCAGAGTTATGTCAAAGCCACTGTGAATATTTTAATTGCTATACTTTATGTAAAATACAATGTGCCAAGAAACCAACACTTATGTATTCTTACTCTGATTTGTTCCAAGAAATATTTTAGGTAGATTACATGAAGTATATAATATAAAATTATTTTTGAAAGTAGACAGAGAAAATGAAACAAATGGAATATGAAAGTAGAAAAGAAAATCAAGAGGAGCCAAGAACTGCTTCCAGTGCTTACCCATCAATCTCTAAGGGTACTATTAACTCCATTTTGCAAACAGGGAAACTAAGTCTCATAGAAACTAAGCGACATGACAAATTTCAACATAGCCAATAGGAGATGGAGGCAAGATGGGAACCCAGGCTATTTGACTCCAGTGCTTGCATTCTCTCTCTCATTTTTTTTTTTTTTTGCCAAACTGGGTTTGGTTTTATGGCATTGTACTTGCTTAGCTGGTGTTCTACCACTTAGCCCACCAGCCAAACTTTTTGCTTTTTTTTGTCGGTCATGGGGCTTGAACTCTGGGCTTGGGCGCTGTCCCTCAGCTCTTCAGCTCAAGGCGAGCGCTCTACCACTTGAGCTACAGCGCCACTTCCAGTTTTCTGGTGGTTTATTGGAGATAGGAGTCTCAAGGTCTCTCCTGCCCGTGCTGGCTTTGAACCTCGATCCTCAGATCTCAGCCTCCTGAGTAGCTAGGATTACAGGCGTGAGCCACCAGCGCCCGGCCTAACTTTTTGCTTTTTGAACATAATGTCCAGCAAATGTTTCTGCCTGGGATGACCTTGAAGTACAATCCTCAGATCTCAGCCTCCACTGGTACCTGGCCAGGGCCTGTGTTCTTAATTTCAGAACTATGTCCAAAGCCTTAAGTTAAAAGGGAGCTAGAGTAAAACTCTCCGTATTTGTCAAAAATGAGCCAAATATATGACATGAATTTTTTGGGAAAATGATGCGAACAAGGAAAAATATGGTAAGTTTCCATATTTACATTATCTATAATCTTAGAAAAAATAAGAAGTTGTTCAAAAGAAATACAATGCTTCTGATCATGAAAGCCAGAAGTTTATCTTGTGGGTCTTCATGGGATATCTATAGTGTAATAAAGACTTCAAAAACATCCTTACATAAACAGAAACTGGGTCTAATGACTATTTCTTATCTCCCTCAATCTAAAATGGGAAATGGTAAGAAAAAAATTCAGTGAAAGTATTTCCACATTTCCAAAAATGTCCAGATATACATACCATGTGGTCCAGTAACCAAGGCATAAATTTTAGATAACCAGAAAAACAGGACTATTCAGTCAACTTGAGTTGATAAATAGTGTATAACATTAAATTCAAGATTAGACTCCCCCCCCTCCCCGCCAAAGTACTACAGTATACCACAGATCTTTCTCCAATGTAAATCATGGATGATTATGTGCTGCATAACTTACATATTAGAACCAATACTATGCATGCATCCCCTAAACAGCCTGACAAAACTCAACAGTGGGCAGTGGGGGCAGAGGCAAACACCTACAGGCAAGGCAAGGCCTATACAAAATCATCACAGAAGTCTGCTATCATAGCAATACAGTGATAGTGACAGAGCACTTGCCTAGCATATGCAAGGTCATAAAACAAAAGAATCTGGGCTTATTTCCTCAAAGTATGTTTATCTAACAGGCACTAAGTTAAAGAAATTTGGAGAAATAAGAAAAGGAAAGCTAAAGAAGAGAAATTCTTTGTTAAAGTTTAGGAAAGTTTTACAAGTCAGGTCCTTCTCTTGAAACATCTCAAATTACATATTTGTCTAAAATAAATACATACAACCTAATTTATCCCAGAAAAGTCTAAATACTCCCATAAGAAGTGGTCACATAATTTAAGATGCATTTCACTTTTTTTTTTTTTTTAGAAAAGTCCTTAAGTAAAGAACAGCAAAACACTGGGTACATAAACTAAACCAACCATCTCCTCATTCCGCATGAAGAGTTTTACGTTAAGTCCTGGGGAACACTGTAAAAATGGTGTTCTCAGAAGACCTCTGGCAGCACTTGCAGCAATACACTCTATATCTGCTTCTCACTATAAAACTATATAATGTGAATAAAAGAATTCATAGCTCATTATTCTTGGGTACAAAAGTGGGATAGAGATCGGAACAATAACAAAAATATAAACTTAATAAGATGATTTACCCTATAATTTATAGTATGGAAAAAAAAAGTATTTTCAAAACTGATCCCAATTCTTAAATGGACATTATCAGAATCTTCAGCTGGAGGAATCTACGCTTTATAACTAAAGAAGTAGAGGCCAAGACAAGACAGCTGGAGTGGCTTGCTCAAGACCACAAAGCCCTGAATGGCAGAACCAGACCAGACATCGGGTGTTTCCCTCCTCCTGCTGCTCACACTGCCGCTTTGGTATTAACAGCACACCAAAATACCCCATCAATCCAGTTAATGCATTTTGTTTTAGAATGGTATGGTACTGTTTCTGAAAACAAATTTAAAAAATTATCTGTGCTTATGCATTAAACGCTTAAGATGTATATTAAGTCGGAAAAAATTTACAATCATTATCAGGGCCACCAAACCAAGTTTTTTTCCCCCCAATATGAATGCATGTTTACTATATAAAATAAACAGTTATAAGCTTACATTTTCTTTTTCTCAAACAGATAATCAGATATTTTATGGGAGAAGTTACCAGAATGCCTCTGCAATTATTAAGACTGCTCCGTCCAAGGTCAAGCACAAATCAAGTATTTTAGAAATGGTTTTATCTATTTGTACCTTAAAGTGTTACCAAACAATATCTATAAATAATCACAATTTTCCTCTTTCAAAATTGTTCCTGGGTCTCTGTTACCTAAATTGATGCCTTCTCTGACATCCTAAGTCATGTTATAAATATACTATTACCAACAGCTTTGCAATAAATGCTGTCTTTTGTATATTAAAACATGGACCCCCTAAGCAGTAAATCATGTTGATTTCAATTTTCCAAAGTGGCAATGCTCTTGCACCAGGTCATCTATACTCTTTCACTGTCTTCCATGTTTACTTAAAACACTAGTCTGAAAGATCAGCTGAAACTCTGCAACCTGTATCCTAGGGCAGTGTGAACCTGTCCTTCTACAGTAACTTATCTAGAGATGTATTCTAGCCTGTGAGTTATAACCATCAAATTCTAGAGTTTTTTTTAAGACTTTTGTATCAAAAACATTTATTTTCCCTTTTCTTATAAAAGGATGAACACAAATCTGAGTGCTGGTTGCTCAAGCCTGTAATCCTAGCTACTCAGGAGGCTAAGATTTGAGGATCATGGATCAAACCCAGATCAGGCAGAAAAGTCCCCAATTATCTCCAATTAACCACACTGTGGCTCAAGTGGTGGAGGGCTAGCCTTGAGCACAAAGAGGCTCAGGGATAGTGCCCAGGCCCTGAGTTCAAGCCCCACAACCAACAACCACCAAAAAAAAAAAAAAATACAAAATTCATAGCAGAGTTAACTTCAAGACTGGTGCCACTTAGGAGGTTGAGATCTGAAGATCATGGTGTGAAGCCAGCTGGAGCAGGAAAGTCTGTGAGACTCTCATCTCCAATTTGCCACCAAAAAGCAGAAGTAGAGATGTGGCTCCAAGTGGCCTTAAGCAAAAAAGCTCAGGGACAGCTCAAAAAAAAGGTCAATTTTTAACTTATACAAAGCATTTATATACACTAAGGAAAACTTCATTTAGGTGATTACAAACTTTGTTTGAATTTCACTGTGCAAAACATTTCATGTCTTTTAATTCTATTCAATCATAATATAAATTATTGAAGCACTGCTTTGCTGTTCAATACAGAATGAATGAATCATAAAAGGAGCAAAAAATATAGCTTTTGATAACTAAAAATGAGTAAGCTAATCAAGCAAATAATGTAAGACAACAAAGAAAGGGGTTGTTAAAAACTCAATTAAAACATTATGGAGAGCTGGGAAGGTAGCTTAGAGCGCTTGCCTTGCATGCTCGAGGCCCTGGGTTTGGTTCCTCAGCACAACATAAGAAAAAAGAAAAAAGCCAAGTGGTAGAGCACTCACCTTGAGCTGAAGAGCTGAGGGACAGCGCCCAGGGCCCAGAGTTCAGGCCCCACGACCGGACCCCCCCCAAAAAAAAACATTATGGAGGTGTTAATGTACAATTAAACCTATATATAAGTATATAATTAAAATTTTGGTATTCTTTCCTATCTGTTTAAGCATATTACTTCAGACCACCATGACTTTCAAGAATTAGGACACATTAAAACTGTCTGTTTTTGATGTTTATGACAATACCAGGCCATTGCACTCAAGGCTGGTGTTCCCCTTCAAACTCTTTACTGGTTAATTGGAGATAAGAGTCTCTGAGATTTATCTGCCTCAGCTGGCTTCAAACCACGATCCTCAGATCTCTGCTTCTTGAGTAGCTAGGATTGCGGGGGTAAGCCACCAGCACTGGACAAAACTGTCCTCTTTCTTGACATTTTTTGACAATTTTTGTTGAGACATTAAGTATCAACTTAAAAAAAATTCATACTACAAAAATTATTCATTATGGGAAGAAAAATGGAAGTCTGGAATATTTTAAAGATATTTGCTTAGAGCAACCAATCATGCAATTTTAAGG